TAATCATATCATCTTTCTCTCTCCTCTCCTCTCTCTCTCTCTCATCTCTCTCTCTCTCCTCTCTCCTCTCTCTCTCTCTCCTCTCTCTAAAACTAAGAGCTTTCTCAAGCTCGTCAACCTGGCCCTCGCCCTCCTCGTCGTTGCCGCCTCCGCTCAGGCCCCCAAGGCTCCCATCGAGTTCACCGCCGTCTCCCCTCCTCTCCTCCACCCGTCCTCGTCGCCGTAGATCGCCGCCGTCGAGACGCACAGAGCATTAATCCATTAGCTAGAAGAAGAAAAGAAAAAAAAGAAAAAAATGTTTGACCAGCTACAAATAAATGAACGATTTAATTTTAAAAAATAATCAAAAGTCGTCCCTATTTTCCCACTTTCACGAGACATTCACGCCTTTTTAGAGGAAGCTAAATTTACAATAAACCAAATGTGCGCGGTCTTTTTGTATTTTAAATTCGAACAAATTTTTAAAATATAACATTTTTAAAACTTAATTAGCAAAATAGGCTGAAAAAATATTTAATTACCAAAAATCGTTATAAGCTGGGACGATAGTTATAAATCGTTGTTATAAATGAGGATACAGTCATGTTTTTATAAATCGTTGTTTAAGCTGGGACGATAGTTATAAATCGTTGTTATAAATGAGGATACAGTCATGTTTTTATAAATCGTTGTTAATTATATTTGATAATAGTTATACCTAATGATATGTTATTTCTAGATGCTATCGTGGTAGTTCTAGTAGCCCTCGAGTTAGTTCTACCTTCTATTACCCTAGTTCTAGCTTGTATACAGCCAGTTCTAGCCCACACCTTGCTAATTCTAAACTCAACAAGGGTTTTTTACATGCACACTTGTTAATTCTTACTTCTACGTTAGTTTTAGCTTCTATTACCTTAGTTCTAGCTTGTATACAGCCAGTTCTAGCTCACACCTTGCTAGTTCTAAACCCAACAATGGTTCTTTACATGCACACTTGTTAATTCTTACTTCTACGTTAGTTCTAGCTTCAATTACCCTAGTTCTAGCTTGTATAAAGCCAGTTCTAGCCCACACCTTGCTAGTTCTAAACCTAACAAGAGTTCTTTACATGCACACTTGTTAATTCTTACTTCTACGTTAGTTCTACCTTCTATTACCCTAGTTATAGCTTTTATACAGCCAGTTCTAGCCCACACATTGCTAGTTCTAAAACTAACAAGGGTTCTTTACATGCACACTTGTTAATTCTTACTTCTACGTTAGTTCTACCTTCTATTACCCTAGTTCTACCTTGTATACAGCCAGTTCTAGCCCACACATTGCTAGTTCTAAACCCAACAAGGGTTCTTTACATGCACACTTGTTAATTCTTACTTCTACGTTAGTTCTAGCTTCTATTACCCTAGTTCTAACTTGTATGCAGCCAGTTCTAGCCCACATCGTGCTAGTTCTAAATCCAACAAGGGTTCTTTACATGCACACTTATTAATTCTTACTTCTACGTTAGTTCTAGCTTCTATTACCCTAGTTATAGCTTATATACAGCCAGTTCTAGCACACACCTTGCTAGTTCTAAACCCAACAATGGTTCTTTACATGCACACTTGTTAATTTTTGCTTCTACGCTAGTTCTAGCTTCTATTACCCTAGTTTTAGCTTATATACAGCCAGTTCTAGCCCACACCTTACTAGTTCTAAACCCAACAATGGTTCTTTACATGCACACTTGTTAATTCTTACTTCTACGTTAGTTCTAGCTTCTATTACCCTAGTTCTAGTTTGTATACAGTCAGTTCTAGCCCACACATTGCTAGTTCTAAAGTCAACAAGGGTTCTTTACATGCACACTTGTTAATTCTTGCTTCTACGTTAGTTCTACCTTCTATTACCCTAGTTCTACCTTGTATACAGCCAGTTCTAGCCCACACCTTGTTAGTTCTAAACCCAACAAGGGTTCTTTACATGTACACTTGTTAATTCTTGCTTCTACGTTAGTTCTACATTCTATTACCATAGTTCTACCTTGTATACAGCCAGTTCTAGCCCACACCTTGCTAGTTCTAAACCCAACAATAATTCTTTATATGCACACACTTGTTAATTCTTGCTTCTACGTTAGTTCTAGCTTCTATTATCCTAGTTTTAGCTTATATGCAGCCAGTTCTATCCCACACATTGCTAGTTCTAAACCCAACAAGGGTTCTTTACATACACACATGTTAATTCTAGTAAGGTGTGGGCTAGAACTGACTGCATAAAAGCTAGAACTATGGTAATAGAAGCTAGAACTAACGTAGAAGCAAGAATTAACAAGTGTGCATGTAAAAAACCCTTGTTGGGTTTAGAACTAGCAATGTGTGTGCTAGAACTGGCTGTATACAATCTAGAACTAGGGTAATAGAAGCTAGAACTAACGTAGAAGCAAGAATTAACAAGTGTGCATGTAAAGAACCATTGTTAGGTTTAGAACTAGCAAAGTGTGGACTAGAACTGGCTGCATACAAGCTAGAACTAGGGTAATAGAAGCTAGAACTAACGTAGAAGCAAGAATTAACAAGTGTACATGTAAAGAACCCTTGTTGGGTTTAGAACTAGCAATGTGTGGGCTAGAACTGACTGCGTAGAAGGTAGAACTAGGGTAATAGAAGCTAGAACTAACGTAGAAGTAAGAATTAATAAGTGTGCATGTACAGAACCCTTGTTGGGTTTAGAACTAGCAAGGTGTGGGCTAGAACTGGCTGTATACAAGGTAGAACTAGGGTAATAGAAGATAGAACTAACGTAGAAACAAGAATTAACAAGTGTGCATGTAAAGAACCCTTGTTGGTTTTAGAACTAGCAAGGTGTGGGCTAGAACTAGCTGTATACAAGCTAGAATTAGGGTAATAAAAGGTAAAACTAACGTAGAAGTAAGAATTAACAAGTGTGCATGTAAAGAACCCTTGTTGGGTTTAGAACTAGCAAGATGTGGGCTAGAACTGGCTATATACAAGCTAGAACTAGGGTAATTAAAGCTAGAACTAACGTAGAAGCAAGAATTAACAAGTGTGCATGTAAAGAATTCTTGTTGGGTTTAGAACTAGCAAGGTGTGGGCTAGAACTGGCTCTATACAAGGTAGAACTAGGGTAATAGAAGCTAGAACTAACGTAGAAGCAAGAATTAACAAGTGTGCATGTAAAAAAACCCTTGTTGAGTTTAGAATTAGCAAGGTGTGGCTAGAACTAGTTGTATACAAGCTAGAACTAGAGTAATAGAAGGTAGAACTAACTCGAGGGCTACTAGAACTACCACGATAGCATCTAGAAATAATATATCATTAGGTATAACTATTATCAAATATAATTAACAACGATTTATAAAAACATGACTGTATCCTCATTTATAACAACGATTTATAACTACCGTCCCAGCTTACAACGATTTTTGGTAATTAAATATTTATTCAGCCTATTTTGCTAATTAAGTTATAAAAATGGTCTATTTTAAAAATTTGTTCGAAATAAAAATACAAAAAGACTGCGCACATTAGGTTTATTGTAAATTCAGCTTCCTCAAAAAAGGCGTGGATGTCTCGTGAAAGTGGAAAAATGGGGACAACTTTTGACTATTTTTTAAAATTAAATCGTTCATTTATTTGTAGTTGGTCAAACATTTTTTCTTTTTTTTTCTTTTCTTATTCTAGCTAATGGATTAATGCTCTGTGCATCTCGACGGCGGTGATCTACGACGGGGGAGCGGCGGCGATCTACGGCGACGAGGACGGGTGGAGGAGGAGAGAGAGAGAGAGAGAGGAGATGAGAGAGAAAGATGATATGATTGTTGGGTCTGAGAGATTGAGGAGAGATGATAAGGATAATTTGGGGATTTTAGCTTAGCTGGCATGTAAAAATTGATAAAATAGGGCTACAGTACAAAGTGTCACACATCAATGGGCTGATTCATATGGGAAAAACTATGATGGACCTCGTCACATGAAGTTTCTGTTTTTAGGGCCTGTACATATTTTACTTAGTTAAAAAGATTTTCCCCATCTCGTAGGAGAGTATATGATACGATTAGTCCGGTTTGACAAAAATATAATGGAAACCGACCGACCCGAACATTTGTTCGCTCCCCTACAGCATCCAGTCCTTGGTCACTGGTCACAGGGAAGTCTACAAAAATTCCTCATTTGATGCGGGTGCAATTTGGTCCAAACCCGAAACCAATACTCGAATCGCTTAACCCCTTCTATATAGTCCCCTTCGACTCCCCGCAAAATCCCTAGAAAAAAGCACTCTGGATCGAGAGCCCATTTGTCGCTCCCGAGCTCGTCATTCAAGCTCTAATGGCGGTCGCTTCCCCCTCCTCCCCCAAAACCCTAGATCCCAAATCCGATAAACCCGACGCCTCATCTGAAAAGCCCAATCCTGATCCCTCTTCTCAATCCGGAAACCCTAATCCCGATCCGAACCCAAACCAAAACGCAAACCCTAACGCTAACCCTAATATCGTCGCCCCTCCTCCTCCTTCCTTTGCCCCATCATTCCGTCCCCTCGGAGCTCCGCCGATGCCGCAGTACTCCGCAGTTCCAAACCCTAACCCTAGCATCCAGCCGCCTGGGGTTTCCGCGCCAGTGACCTACATGATTCCAGGCGTTGCATCTGGGGCCGGATCGGTTACAGTTTCGGCCCCTCCGATGAGGTATCCGCCTCCTGGAGCTCCTCCAATGGCGTACGGCCAAGTCCCCAATGGATACATGACCGGTCATCCGCCCGGTGGGTCCCTTTCTTTCTTAAAGCTTTGATTTTCTATTGTATTTTTTGGTTTAGTCGTAGCGATTCATTCTTTTGCGATGTTTTATCGAATTATCAATCATTTGGACAAGATGTTATAAGGTTATATATGAACCTATGTTGGTCTTTTTTGGTTGGAATTTGCGGGTGGGCACAAATGGGGGAGAGATAAAAAGGTGGAAAAAGAAAAAAGAAATAGATAAGGGATTCATAGATGACGGAATATTTTCTCGTACAGCATGTTCATGATGAGAAAAAGGTGGGGCAGGCTTCCTCTTGCAAATATTGACAGATCACTTCCACAGTGTGGTATGCTTAAATTCTCTTGGTACTGCCTTTTTAGCATATTTTCTTCTGTTTAGTCAAATCTTTTTGTAAAAAGGGGGAAACTTTGTTAATTTATCATGGCAACAGATGTATAGTAAGAGTTTTCCATATGAAAGATTAAAGTTTATCCAACCTACTGGACTTTATAGAGAATTTCCTTGACAGTGGATCATGTGTAGCATCTAAGTGCTGCTTGCAATAATGTCCTAAGGTACATTGTTTGCTTTTGAATACTTTTTTTTTGTTTGCTCATATTCATTTTATCGTATAAGTATCTGTTACTATGTGTTTTGAAGAAGCTTTTAGACATAATTTATCTTTAAAGTTGTTATTGTAAAATAGTCCACTCTCCACTGCCATGGTGTGAGCTCAGCAAGACTAATGTACCCTTTAGTATCTGGGGTTACTCAAGATTATGTTCAAGAACTTTAATAAGGTAAGCCCACCTGTGCAGCACATATCTTTATGATTTTATTGTATGGTAACATCGTTCCGCATTTTTGTTATATTTTCTCTTTACATTTGTAAATTGATGTATACTTTGAAGTGACTAACCAGTTATTAGGTTTGTGAATATGTTCTGACAAGCGCGCATAGTTATTTGCTCTGCTTTTGCAGGAATTCCTCGTTATCCTGGACCATACCCACCTATGATTCGCCCTGGCTTTCCTCCTCGTCCGCTGCCTCCAATGGGTGTGATTCCACAAATTCTTCGACCTCCTATTCCTGGAATTCGTGGTCCTCCTGTGGTTTCTCCAGTTGTCAGGCCTGTTGTTCCTGCTGTTGCAACTGAGAAACCACAAACAACAGTGTATGTTAGCAAGATAGCTCCAACTGTTGATAATGATTTTCTCCTCTCTCTTCTTCGAGTAAGTTCCACTGAACAAACTTTAGTAAATCTGTAAGACTGTAACCTTTATGCTATTAGATGTTTGTAACAAAAGGCGACTATGATTCATGTTTTATTTGTTGATATTGTCTCTCTTTGTCTTTTTTATGTGCTTAAATCTGGAAATTTTCGTACTCCTAATTTGTCTTCTCTTGAAGCTTTGTGGACCAGTGAAGAGTTGGAAACGTGCTCAAAATCCCTCTGATGGCTCTCCTACAAGTTTTGGCTTTTGTGAATTTGAAGCTGCTGAAGGAATTCTTCGAGCTCTACGTCTGCTAACTAAGTTGAACATTGATGGACAAGAGCTGGGGGTAAGTTAGTTTCTCTGTTTCTTTAGATATAAATTTTGGCATGCTATGGAAATCTCATAGCTTGATCATAACAGATCAAGATTAAAGCAAAAGTTAATATTACATGGATATGCATTGTTGCAGTCAAGTAGCCTAAAGTGTCCAGAATAAGAACATTTGGGGAACCTGTATTGCACACACTTACTCTTAAGCACACTAAAGGATATCAAATATGTAATATCCACATGTAACAAGTAATGCACATTATGCACTTAACTAGTGTTGCATACTTCAATCGAAACAGATCTGTAATGCACATTATGTACTTAACTAGTGCTACATACTTGGATTGAAACAGATCTACATCATGTTTTAGTATAGGGTTTTTTCTATATTAGTCCCTTAAATCATTAGCATTTTGATATCAGTCCCTCAAATCTTCATATTTGGATATTGGTTCCTTAAAAATTATTAGTGTGTTGATATTAGTCCCTTAGTTAGTTGATGTTATAACTTTAAGGGAATATTCCGTTAACTCTTAAGATTTTTGGGTGGATTGACCATTATAGCCCTCTGATTATAAACCCAAACCTATTATCTATTTAACTCATACCCATTTACAACCCTCAAACACATTAATTACAAATCCAAACCCATTTATACCCTTATCTTCTTCCTTTCATCCCTTTGATTTTAAACAATTATGGGAAAGGGGGAGATTTTGCTCAATTGGGAAAGTGTTGGTGAAGAAAAAGATTGAAAGCATCCAAATTCAATGAGTGGAGGTTAGTTTGATAATTACCCACCTAGAGTTAGCACTAACCTAATCACAGGTCATCATTTTTAACCATGATCTTAACAGAAGGACCAATATCAACAATTAAAGTGTAATCGAGGGACTAATATCAAAATATAAAGATTTGAGGGACTAATATCAAATTCACTATGATTTAAGGGACCAATATCAAAAAACCTCTTTAGTATAATAGTGGACCAGCGGTAGCAGCGTATATGAAGGTTGTGATAAGAAGGGACTTTCTGTTCTACGCAGTTGGTTTGGGTGTAAGTAAGGCTGGATTTTGATCCACCTTTTTGTGTTATCCCCCCCACCCACCCCCCCAAAAAAAAATCACGTAGAAGCATGGGGTTTAGCATAATTTGTTTTCTTAACAATGGGGATATTATTCCTGTGACATAAGGTGAGTGTTTCCATGTGCTCGGTAATTAAGCAATTAGTTTCCCCCTAACTTCTATTCACTAAAGAACATTCTTAATCACGATTTTGGAGTTTTAATCGATTGTCTTGCAAGCTATGCTGCATGGGCACGAGTACGGGCACCGGTACGAGACATGTCAAATTTGTAAACTGTAGGGTACATGGACATGGCTATATAAATATTTATATATACATATGCGCATCATATATTGGAATTAATAATTTAGATTAGATCAATATTGTTTTCATTCACGTGTTATGATAATCAGAATCCCTATAACACTTTTATGTTTCTTTTATTATGATGATTATAAATTCGAAAATAGCTAGTTTTTGAACTTGACATGCAAACGATCCTTTAAGATCATAGCTTAGAATCTGATCTACATCCAACGAGTTTCAAAAGGAGTTGTGAAGCGTATGATAAATGTTCAAAATATGTTTGACAAGTGTTTTAAATTAAAACATGTATTGTATAATTGACTAGATGCCTAAATAAATGTATGCATATATGCAAGGAGTGTCCAAGGAGTTTGGATGTAGGTACGTGTCGGGTACGGGTATGCCACTCAGAAGTACAGAGGTAACATAGCTTGCAAGTGTCCTCGAACATCTAAGAGTCAGTATCATTAATCATTATCACTTTTTAGTGGACAAAAATAAAATCCTTAACCCATAACACAACTACAGAGTTCTGGTGCAGCGACATTGAAAGTAAACACTGAGTCTTACTAGCCTCCACTGTTATAAATAGCAGTAAATAGCCCGCAATAGCGGCGTAATAGCGTTAGCGGTCCCTTCCCGCGACGCTATCGCCCGCTACGCTATAGCGCAATAGCGGAGACATATTGCGGAATATGTTTGTTCGCAAAAAAGGTCAATAGTGTGTCATAACGGTAAATAGTGAGTGATTGCATTCGAAATTTATTTTTTGACTGCTATTTAAAAGTGGTTTGAGGCTTATTTTTTAAAAATTAAAACCCTTGACCATTGCATTCCAGCATCTCCTGTGATTTTCAGCATACTCCAGCCATCTCTCATAGCCTCTAGTACCTACCTTGATACTTCCTCTCACCGCCTTCACTGTGAGCTCTTAGGGAAGTCCTGTCACTGCTAAACTCTTCTTCTCGAAGACGACGATTTTTTGACTCCTCCAGTCATCTTCGGTATTACGTGATGGTTACATGTCTATTTCATGTTTAGAATCTCTTTAAATCATCAAATATGTACTTTTAGATTTCTTAGATTTTTCTTTAATTTTTTTAGTATTTATACATATCTAAATTACACCGCTATTTGACTTTGCTCTTTTTACTGTTATTTTGCCGTAATAGCCCGAAATAGGCTTAGCGATGCCTCACCGCTACGCGACGCTATCCGCTATTGATAACCTTTCTAGCCTCTAAATTCTAAAGCATGTTAGAAAAAGATATGGCTCCTTGAGTCCTGGTTTTGGCCCATGAAAGGGTGCTCAACCTGCGGGGTCATGTTAGATATATAACTATAGCCCTCAACTCTTACTATTACAGTTTCGGGGCGGTGGAAGGGACCTTTGACAAACACATTAAAATTTCTAAATTGAAGTGTCCTCTGATTCTGTTAATCGTGCTAGGGAACCACCACTTATCAAGGAAAGGCCAACCTTTGCTTAAGCCAATTGCTGGTCCTATTTGTAAGATGCCTTCAATTTTGATAATTAAGCACCTCATATTTTATTACAGGAAACTCTCCAATCTTCTGCCCAGTGTGTGTACACACCGAAGTCAATTAGGGGTTTGGGTGCTTTCTTCTGTTCTTCCAACGTTGGTTAAACTACAGCTGCATCTCATTCTGAGCATGTTAGTATCATCCATGCAGTCAGTAGTTGCTTCCAAAAAACAGTAGGCTTACACTGACATGAAAGCACTATATTTGACATCTGCGCTTCAGTCTGAATGCACCTGAATGGCTGAGTTTGATTATTAGTTCCCTGTTTGATATGCTATGTCTTGTATGGTCATCATCTCACACAATGCATCATTATGCTTAGGCCTAGCTAGCTTCTCATGAAATGCGTAACTGCTCAACTCCCACTTCAGGTTGTAGAACCTTATAGTAGTATATATTAGGGACAGTATATTGTTGTCATGCTCCTTTTCTTGATCTTTTTTCTATCTTTAATTGAGAATTGATAGTTTGACTACTAAACAATGTAATCTTTGTTATTTCTTATAGTAATTGATATTTGATATATGCACAGTTAAAAATCAACCAAGCAACCCGGGAATATCTTGAACGTTATGTTCAAAAGAAGACTGAACAAGAAAAGCTCAAGGCCACTGAAAATCAAGCTCCTGAGAAAGAGAATGAAGGTGCACCAGGTGTTGAGAAACAAGAACTTCAAAAGCCAGCTGTAGAAGGTAGATCAGAGGAGCCAGATGATTCCGGGGATAAAGAGAATCAAGAACACCAGACGTTTGGAATTGTTACAGATGAAGATCGTGAGGCTGATAAAGATGCTTCAGAGAAGATTACAAGTAAGATAGAAGAGAGGTTAAAGACAAAACCTCTGCCTCCTCCCCCACCTGTTCGGCCTCCAGTTGATGCATCTGTTAAATCAAATTCTGAGGTTCCTTCTAAATCAAGGGAAGTGGATTCTGAGGTGGATATCGTGAGAAGTGGTTAGTCTAGTTCTGTAACTATCATTTCTCAAAACTCAAACTTTCTTCTTAAATTTTTTTTCCTCTCAAACTTTTTTTTCTTCCTTTCTTCCTTTTTTCTATGCAGATGTAGCTGAAGATAAAAACGATGATGAAACCACTAGTGAGGCCAAGGCTTCCAGTGAACATGACAAGGTTGAAACAAGCTCTCCTGATAGGGGAAGGAGGCATGATAGAAGTAGCAGAGAAAGAGACAGGGAACATGATTTGAAACGGGAGAAAGAACGGGAATTAGAGAGGTACGAGCGCGAGCGAGAGCGAGAGAGAGTTAGGAGGGAGAAAGAAAGGGACTTGAAAATAAGAGAAGCTGAGAGGCTATATAATAACCGTTTGAAGGATTGGGAAGCTAGGGAGAGGGAGAAAGAACACCGACGTCAGAAAGAGAAGGAGAGGGAGAAAGATAGGCAACGAGAACGTCGTAGAGAGATTTCAAAAGATGAAGATGGGAGTGACGATGATGAAGATGATACAAGGAAAAGGAGGCGCAGGAGTACAACACTTGAGGAGAAGAGGAGAAAGAGACAACGGGAGAAGGAGGATGACTTGGCTGACAGATTAAAAGAAGAGGAAGAGATTGCTGAAGCAAAGAAGAGGGCAATCGAAGAGCAAAGGCGGATGGAGGAAACAAAAGCTCTTCCTGACCAAGTGAATGAGGACAGAGAAGCTACTGAAATGCAAGTGGATGCTATGGTTATTGATGGTAAGGAAGCGCCTGTTGCTGAGCATGTTTATGATGGTGTTTCTGGTAGTGGCAATGGTACTGTTATGTATTTTAGTTTGTAATATTCTAAGCATTTGACTACCCTTGTTGATTTTATTTATACTGATTGAAATTTTATCCCACAGGTGAAGCAACATATGAAAACAGCATCGGTGGTGAACTAACTGCAGGATCGGCTGCACTAACGGATATGAAGCAGAACAATGATGTTCCTGCTAGAAAACTGGGTTTTGGTCTAATGGGTTCAGGAAAAAGGACAACTGTTCCATCAGTTTTCCGTGAGGAAGATGAGAATGTTGAAGAGAAGAAAATGAGACCCTTGGTACCTATAGATTACTCCACTGAGGAATTACAGGCTGTACAGTCAAGTGTTTCCTCTACACCACCAAATCTGGTGGCTGCTGCTGAATTTGCAAAGCGTATCTCGGGTGAGAACTCTAAAGAAGAGAAGCCTGAAATGGAAAGAAATAGAAATGGTCGGTCTAATGACAGATCAAGCCACAAAGAGCGAGTCCGGAATGAGGATGAGAATGCTCGTCACAGGAATGATAACAAGGAGAAGACGCGTGATAGAAGTTATGAAAGGGAAAGGGAGAGGGAAGATAAGCCAAAATCAGAAAACAAAAAGCTTTTGGATGCAAAACAATTGATTGACATGATTCCGAAGACCAAGGAAGAGCTCTTTGCCTATGAAATTAATTGGGATGTTTATGATAAGGTGTGTGTTAATAAATATACTTCAAGTTTCTCTTTAATACTTCAAGTTTCTCTTTCACAGAATGCATATCCCACTTAATTGCTCCATTCTTCTTAGTTATTGTTGTTATTATTATTATTGTTATTGCCATCATCGTTATTGGAATATTCATGTTAAAAAACCGGTCTCCACTTTATAAAGTTTACAGTTAAGTTATAAAGAGAATAAATGGAATGTGAATTCTACACCGTTAAAAGAATTTAAGTTGATTATATTTAACCAATATTAGCTACTACAATTTTTCCTTTGTTTGGTTGCAGTGGTAGTTATATTTGTATCCACTGAGCTAACTATGTTGTTTGGTTGATAATTTTGCAGCACGAATTGCATGAGAAAATGAGACCATGGATCTCAAAGAAGATTACTGAATTTCTTGGAGAGGAGGAGGAAACACTGGTGGACTATATTGTTTCAAGTACCAAAGAGCATGTTCAAGCATCAAAAATGCTGAATCTGCTGAAGTCCATCTTGGACGATGAGGCAGAAATGTTTGTTCTCAAGATGTGGAGGATGCTAATATTTGAAATTAAGAGAGTTGAAACAGGAATCTCTGTTAAACCAAGGGCCTGAGAATGAAGTTTCATTTATGAGAAAGAGGTTTCATTTCTTCATTCTCTCTTCAGAGAGTATGCTACCTTACCTTCTCCTTTATATTTCAGAAATGAGACTAAGAAACAACAGCAGCCACTATTTTTCTTATGTATGCGGTGCAAGTCCTTTTGTAGGAGACTTGTACCAAACTTCATGTCCAATTGACCAAAATGTGCCTGCTCTTTGATTCTTTGCGGAAAGGCTTGTCTGGATTTGGGAAGTCAATCGCTTGTGGTGCCAAAACAGGACTGTCCATCATTTTGTATTGTGAGTGGATAAAGTCATTCTGCTAGGTATGCTGTTAAACACCAGAAATCTTTTGTTAGTAATATTTGACCTTGTTAGTAATATTTACATTTTACTGGATTTGAATAATTGTGTAACTAATATGCCTGATAATGCATTATCATGATATATCTAAAAGGTCAATGTTTTAACAGCATGCCATGGAGGATGTGCCAATGAGGGTTGACATTACATTTCGTTGTTGTATATTTTGTCTTAACATTATCATTTTCGTCGGTCTGCTCTATATTGCAGAAAAAGAAAATCATTCTATGATCAATTAGATAATAGGTGAAGTTGTTCCAGACAAGATATATCTAAAAGGTCAATGTTTTAGCATGTCAAGTAACATGTGTCAATAAGAGTTGACATCACATTTTGTTCTTTTTGCATATTTCCTCTTAACATTATAATTTCCACGGATCTGCTCTATATTGCGGAAAAAAGAAAATTATTCTATGACCAGTAAAGTGGCAGCAAAGTTGTTTCAGATGTGCACTGGTGAAAACTATTCAATAATTGGCCTGAGTAATAAGGATGTGATGTATTGATCGTCATTGCATGCTCTTCTGTGTAGGAGATTAAATGGTTCCCGTGTATCCCATAAGGTTCTTTGTTTTCTGGCACGAATGATTCTGATTTTCTTACTAATGTACCAAGTAACTGAACATTTCATATTAACTATCTTCTGCTGGTCAAGCACATCAATTTGACTTTATATTATTCAGGATCTATATTTTCTTTATTAGGGATTATTCTATATCTAGTCTATGCTAATACACAAGTTGCACTATGAGTTACCTGACAGTGATAGTAATTTAAAGCATTTTGGTTGATATTTCTCATGTAGATATGTTGATCATTGCATTGATTTCCCTCTGCCATTTGAATTTCAGAAAGCTCAGCAATTTCACTATTATACACCTGTTACCCATGCATCTAGAGAACACGAGAGTGTATGGTTGCTTAGAATTTACAAAGAAAAAACATCGAATTTTAGTTAAAGGGGGACGTTACATAAGGTGCCAAATTGAAATATACCCAAGTAACACTTAAATGAAGTTAACGTTAGTTACTCATCTAAATTTCTTTTTCTTATTCCGTTTAGACTGTATGCTGATTCTCGCCCCCCCAACCCCCCCAACCACAATCCAAATCAAATTCATCTTTTAATTTGGTGTTCTCCAGGGACTAGAATTCTAAAACTTTATATTTTACAATTTTATGTTGATAAGACCGACTGACTTTTCATTTGAGAAAATTCCGTGGTTATCTTTTGAAATATGGATTTGACTTCTAGTGCTAGAGAATTTTGTGACCTCTAAAAACTAAGAGGAAGTTAATTTAGTTTTAAGAATTTAGTTATTATTGGATATGAGTGGGTGTGATTAGATTAGATTTGGATGATGGTTCGAAGTTATTATTTATTTATTTTTTGGCATATCTTGAGAAGGCAAAGATGTAAGAATTCGCGTTGAAGTAACCAGTAAGGAAAACCACTTTTATGGAACCTTCCATTTTAATTTTCTGGTTCGTACAGGGTTACAATTTCTAGTTCTAAATCCCCTATTTGTTGTTGACTTCAACATCTTTAATCTCGAGATCTTGAATCAGATTCGCTCATCACATTCTTTGGTACTGATTCTCATTTGGAGGTAGAACATTGCAATGTGTATAGCCCTGACCTCCTGTAATTTGGTACCTGCGAAGTCTTATATATTTAGTATGTTGTTATCTGTGACGCACTGATATTTCTGAGGAGATGCACCTGTATTGTATATCGATGCCTGGGCGCTCCATTTCTTGAAGATATTGGATAGTCTTTTTGAGCCATCCTAATGCTTGTAGTGCATCACGTATTGGAGGCAGTATCACAGATGTACAAAGTTAAAACTGAACGTATGGATAATGACTTTTGATTCCATTTGATTTTGTGGCACACTACATTTATATAATTTGTCGACTTTCTTAATAAATCATATGTTCACATAATTTATAAACTTGCATATGTAAGTTTTATTATTGTTGTGCTTGGTAACCTAAAATTTATGATTTTAACTTTTTTATGTAGTCTCATCTTGTATTTATAATAATATATTTACATTGTTTCTTCACGTCCACTCCGTACCCATACGTTAAGTCTTTTTTTCTTCCGAATGTGTCATGTTTGCTTTTCTGTATCATATTGGATCCATATCATGTTTATGTCCATGATTCACAGCTTGTCATGCCACGAACTAATGACGTACTTTGGCTTAGTTCTGAGGATATTATTATGAACTGCATTTTCATGGTTTGTCATTCTTCCTTGCGTGTCTCGGGAGTTAGTATAATCTACATGTCAGCAGCCGGTATTGACAGCTCTTGGTTTCATCACTAGTGCTGTCATGGTGGCGTTGGGTCTGGCGGCCAGGATATCGTGTATCATACTCAGTACTTTGTTGACAATCAGTATCGGTCTCTGCTGAATTGCCGCCTCTATCAGCTTGTGGTATCTAGAATTAGGAGTAAATGGGATCTATTTCTTTCTCGTTGGTGGTGCCTTGTTCCTGTGAAGAACTTGTATGTTCCTCTCTGTTCATGCTTGTAAACAATTCCTCTTGTTGCCCTCTTGTTTATGATAGCGAAAAAGTATCGACAAAGTTTGAGGAAGATAAATGTGTCACTGCCAGGAGCTCCGCTAATCAACTCCCATAGTAGAGACCAGAAATGTGGGTGATGGAAATAAAAGCCATTTGGACAGAAAGCTCTTACCACTACAAGTCTCTTTAGATTAAGAGGCTTGGTCACTTGGGGTGCAAATGGATCAGATATGGTTCGAATAGGAAACACCATAGCCATATCCCTTTCTAAAAACGGATACGAATATGTATACGGTTTTCCTTCGGTAAGTAAAAGTCAACTCTATTTTTTAAAAAAGGAAACGGATACGATTCAGATAATGGAGAGACACATATGGTACGTTGTGGTATGAATTAGATACTTACAGATGGATAGCATCGGATACTTACAGACGGATATGCATCAGATATGAGAGGCTTGGTCACTAAGGGTGCAAATAGAATGGATATGGTTCGGGTACAATACTTCCTATATCTGTATATGCTTTCTAAAAATGGATATGGATACAGTTTTCCTTTAGTAAGTAAAAGTCATAACATATCTGCTAAAAATGAAAACGAAAATAGATATGGTTTAGGTAAGGAAGAGACAGATATGGTGTGATTAAAGATATGGATCTGATACTTAACAGACGGATATGCATGTAGTATAAGAGAAGATCCATTTATTAATTGCTCTATTTTGTTTCAAAGAATAAAACACGACTTAAAAATTACAATATATTGCTACTATCAATTCTAAAAGTAATGTATAATATCTAATACAACCAAGATAATTCAATTCTCGAGTGGTCATAATCCAAGTGAATAACTTAAAAACACAAAGTATTTTTAATCATCATTAATAGCATAAATCAAATTAAATTATAACATAAATTTGATCGTAAATAAGTTCAAAATGTACACTTGATGACCTCAGTAAAACCATGACCAATAACCCAAAAACATATAACCACATCCCAAAGCATACGATTGTTATCAGTTAAACAAAAAATGTAGTAATAATCATATCTGTGTCCGAATGCATATCCGAATCTATGTCGGTATTCATACATGGATTCGTATCTGAATCTATTTTTGAATCCATATCCGTGTCCATGGCCGATCCATAGTTGGATTCAGATATTCGGACCGTATCTGAAAATTGAACCGATATCCGTATCCAAAATTGTATCCGACCAAAAAATCAAAACCATATTGGAATACATATCTGACTGGTTTCAAATTTTGGCTACCATATCTGCATCCGTTTCGAAGACGGCTGTAGATTGGATGGGATGCATCTGGACCGTTTGTGTCCCTATTGGTCACTCTTGATTCAGGAGGTGCTTGTCCCTTTCCCATTGCTTCAGAGCTTAGAAATAAGGTAGTAGTAGACCAAATTAATTGGAAATGTAAGTGAAATGCTTGTTTAAAGCAATTCTTGGTTATCTTTTCGACATTATTTCCCCATGGTTATGATATAAGTGCTTGTTTTAGTCATAGTTTTCTGTTTTTATTATTGTTTTGTATTGAGATTTCGATATGGCGACATATCTCCATTTTCCTGCCCATCACATATTTATCATTCTAGCGTCAAAAGACATATCTTTCGTGGTACTTGTATCATATGATGTGGTACTTGTATCAGATGATGACATTTCAGATTTTTATGCTGTAGTCACTCATGCCACTTCTCTAATCTTGCAAATGAGAATAATGTTTTCTGTTGGAAGAAAGTAATGAATCATCAGTCTAATTGTTCAGGTTTTCTTTGTTTGTCTTTTGGATCTTGAGACTATATCTGTGAGACAAATTTTAAGGATTTAGCCATCATTATCTGTATTTTAGGACTTGGGAGTCACATATTTATCATTCTAGCGTCAAAGACATATCTTTCGTGGTACTTGTATCATATGCTTTGGTACTTATATCAGATGATGACATTTCAGATTTTTTTGCTGTAGTCACTCATGCCACTTCTCTAATCTTGCAAATGAGAATAATGTTTTCTGTTGGAAGAAAGTAATGAATCATCAGCCTAATTGTTCAGGTTTTCTTTGTTTATCTTTTGGATCTTGAGACCATATCCGCGAGACAAATTTTAAGGATTTAGCCATCATTCTCTGTGTTTTAGGACTTGGGAGGTAATTTACATCAGTGTGAAGGAAAGTTTGACCGCACAGCGTGTGATTTTCAGGGTATAAAAGAATGTCTTGCATTGTTAGTTTCATTACGTTATATATGTCATAGTCGATGGCTGGATCCCCGGCGGCCTCTAGATTTCGTGCTCCTGGTTGAAATAAAATTATTTCAGGCGGTCTACCGTGAGTTGTTCCTCATATATGATATCTCGTGCTGGTCATCTTAGACTTGCTGTATGATATTTAGACCATTCATTACTTTAGGGGGCTTTTTGGCTATGACAGAAATTAGCATATAGTTTATTGTGACCTGTAAATGTATGCTCCAGTTTTTATGTTTGTTTCGGAACAAGTTTTTGTAGATAATAATCTATGCTGTCTCTCTCGCGGAGTGGTGTTTTGATCTTACTGTCTCTTTGAGTACCTGTATTTGCCTCCGCCAGAAGAATCATCTGGCTGTGTGACAATCTAAGATTGGCCTCATAAGGTGTAATATCTTCATTTTTGGATCAAGTAGTCTGCTTAGTTTGTTTGAGTAGCCAGCTAGGTGACCCTGTGTGAAAACATGCAACTCACCTGATGTTTTCAGGGTGTTGGATTTTGCATGCTTTATGTGGGATAATTCTGTGTAGAATAAATTTTTTAAACAGACCCATTCCAACTTTTTATTTTCAAAACCGACTCTTTTTTTTTTATTTACCAAAACCGACCCGATTTTGTGATTAGCAGACTAATCACCTTCCTAAATAGTCGGGGTTGGCAACCCCGACTATTTAGGACATTAATTTTTAGGGTTTAATGCTTCTAATTAGGGTTTAACACCGTTCTAAATAGTCGGGGTTGCCAACCCCGACTATTTAGGAAGGTGATTAATCTGCTAATCATAAAATCGGGTCGGTTTTGGTAAATAAAAAAAAAAGAGTCGGTTTTGAAAATAAAAAGTTGGAATGGGTCTGTTTAAAAAATTTGTTCTTCTGTGTAGGATTTGTACCGATTAGTGATTTGTGGATGTGAGCTTTAAGTAAGCTGACCTGAGTTGGGATGGTTCAGTTAAACCGACTTGGAGGGGTTGCATGAGCCGAGAAACCATGGCCCTTTTTTTTCTGGTTCTACTTGGGATAAAATTTTTCATTAATTATTTGTGGAAGCAAATTAAGTAACTTGACCGACTTCGCAAAAGTCTTGGAATCTTGAGTTTTTTTAGTTCTACTTGCAAATAAATTTTGTTCGTTATGGGACTTGGAAAAAGAACTTTGGATTTAAAGTCGAAAACCTCTTGATCTAATCCCTCTTGTATAATAAGTTGCGTACGCTAACCTGTACAGCTAGATATTTGAAATAAAAGCATGGGGTTTACGTAGAGTAATTACAGCACATCGGCTGCTGATGTATTGACCGACAGCTCGCTGGGGCATTTTGCTCTGCAAAATCGTTTAGCCGTGGATGTGGCTTCATCATTAGTTATCACATGACGCAAGAAAACCCCAGATCATTAAGCAAGGCAAACTATAAGCTCTCTCAGCACCGAAGGTGGCGTCACGTTAACAGAGGACGTGCGTTTTTGAAGACCTAACCCACTGTTTAATAACCTGCCCTAATTAACAACTCCAACCGGATTGCCAAATTCAAGCGTTAATTGTTAACAAGATTCTTTTCATCTCTTTTTCGTCATCAAGCAGTTCTTATTCGCGCGAGATAATCCGAGAGAGGACGGTACAAGGCAAGTCTTCTTTTATCCTCGCCTTGCATACTAAGCAAAACTAATCATTCTCCTCTTATTTATGTTCCCACGCCCTGATCTCTTCGCCTCTAAGGCTCTGCTTCCATTCTCCTCTGCCCTCCACTTCTCTGGACTCCTACGTTGTCCCCTTCGTCCGCCAAACCTTGACCTAGTCCACACGCTGAAGGCAGGGGGGAAAAAGGAAAAAAAAAAAAAGGGGTTGAAGGATTATTCAACCTAACGGTAAGCACAAAAGTCTATGATTATATCTCATGTGCATGCACATAATCAAAACTCACTAAACATAATCCAAGCGACATCGTACCCCACAGAGTCGGTCAGATCTATCCTCATTTCTCATCTCGTTTGCCACCTGTCGCTTAATTAAAGCCAAAAAATAGGAATCCAAGCGATGATGAAGAAATTCAAGGGGGACCTCTTGAGGGCCACGGACACTATATTAACGAGAACCCTCAACAACAGGAGGGGGAAGAGGAAGAAGAAGCAGCAGCAGCAGCAGCATCAGGGCCGGCCGCCAGCATCCCAACAAGATCATCAGCATCACCCCAGCCGCACCTCCCCGATCCCGTTCAGCCCCCCGGTCCGCCCTCCCCCTCCCTCTGTCAGCATGCAGCCGTCCCATGCGCCCCGCCTACCCGCCCACGCCGGTTCCTCTTCCCATCCGCCCGCGTCTTCGTCGTCGTCCGCTGACCCGTCCCGGTTCTTCTCCCCTCCCGCTCTCTCCTCCTCCTGCCCACGAACTCCTTCTTCCAAACTTTGTCTGAAGAACGGAGACCAGCCCGGAGTAGCATCCAGACCGTACCTCATCACATCGCGCAGAACTCCCTCTCGCCTCGGCACACCGCCACCCGCTTCTCACCCCCCTCCCTTCATGCTACACAGAAGCCTGTCAACCGCCTGATCTCACCATCTCATCCTCTCCTCATGCACGCGGTCGTTCGATACGTCCATCTCTCGGTTCACGACCTCAGCCTCACCCTCGCGCCTCCAACCCCGCCTCCTCCCTTCGCGCTTCTAGCCGCTTCTCGCTCGCGCGCGGGCTGCCCTTTCGTCAACCGTTGCCACGCTCTGGGGCCCCGCCGTCCTGCTTCATCTCGTCGGGGTCTGGCCAACCGCGTTCGTCAACCTCGCCTCGAACCCCGCCGGCACCAAACACACCGTCACCCTCAACAACTCCCGGTCGTACGTCATATACTCGTCCTCGCCCCTCAACCTGTCCCAAACGGGCGATTCTTCGTTGGTTTCGGGGGCTTTTTCGGGGACCGTTCGGATCGCTTACCTCGCCGATCCGGGTTTTGAGCCGGTCCTCGATCGGTTCAGCTCGCGCTACCCGGTGTCGGGGAGGGCCGATTTCAACAGGCCCTTCTGTTTGGAGTACAAGTGGGAGAGCGAGGGGTGGGGGGACTTGCTGATGCTTGCCCATCCCTTGCATTTGAAGTTGCTGTCTGGTGTCACCGTGCTGGATGATTTTAAATACGATGGGGTTGATGGGGACCTTGTTGGGGTTGTTGGGGATAGTTGGAAATTGATGGCCGACCCAGTTCAGGTCTCCTGGCACTCTTTGAATGGGGTTAGGGATGATGGGTATGATGAGATTGTGTCGGCTCTGGTCAAGGATGTTGAGGGTTTGGGTGCGATTAGTAATAGTTCTTCGTATTTTTACGGGAAGGCGATTGCTCGGGCTGCGAGGTTGGCCTTGATTGCTGAGGAAGTAGGTTACGTTGATGTGATTCCGGCAATTCAGAGGTTTTTGAGGGATTCCATTACCCCTTGGCTTGATGGGAGCTTCAACGGGAATGGGTTCCTTTATGATCCTAAGTGGGGTGGGATCGTGACTAAACTTGGTTCGAACGACTCTGGCGCTGATTTTGGATTTGGGATTTATAATGACCATCACTACCATTTGGGCTATTTTCTGTATGCCATAGCGGTTTTAGCTAAGCTTGATCCGGCGTGGGGGAGGAAGTATAGGCCTCAAGCCTATTCAATGATGGCGGATATCATGACATTGTCGAGAAGGGGAGGATCAAATTATACTAGATTAAGATGCTTTGATCTATGGAAGCTCCATTCTTGGGCTGGAGGATTGACAGAGTTTGCTGACGGGAGGAATCAAGAGAGCACCAGCGAGGCTGTGAATGCTTACTACTCTGCAGCGTTGATGGGTTTAAGCTTTGGTGATACTCATCTCGTGGCCATTGGGTCAACGCTAGCAGCCCTTGAGATTCGTGCAGCTGAGACTTGGTGGCATGTGAAAGAGGGCGAGAGGATGTATGACGAAGATTTCTGTAGGGAGAATAGAGTGGTTGGTGTTCTTTGGAACAATAAGAGAGATAGTGGGCTTTGGTTTGCTCCCTCCGAGTGGAAAGAGTGTAGGCTAGGGATTCAATGTTGCCATTGTTGCCTATAACTGAGGTCCTGTTTCAGGATGTAAGGTTCGTAAAGGATTTGGTGAATTGGGCACTGCCCTCTTTGTCGAGGGAAGGGGTTGGTGAAGGGTGGAAGGGGTTTGTGTATGCAATGGAAGCCATTTATGATAAGGCAACGGCTTTGGAGAAGACGAGGGAATTACATGGATACGATGACGGGAACTCTCTTTCGAATTTGCTGTGGTGGATTCATAGCAGAGGAGAAGAAGAGGGTGATTTCGGCTGGGGAAAAATTTGCTGGTTCAGTCACTACTGCCATTGAGGTTTGAGATTTGTTCATGGTTTGAAAGATGCAACGGTTGTGAAATGGCGGAGCAGTGAGGGTATAAGGGCATGAAACGAGTAAGACTGGAGCATATATTGGTAATTCTCAGCATTCTTCTTCTTTTCTTTTATAGTTTCGTTATTATCAATAAAATGAATGTCATAGTGGTTTACAAGTTGCTTGATTTCCAGTTCCATATTTCATATATGTTATCTCTGTGTACAAAGTGTTGGGAGGGTGTCTTATTTTGAGCTATATACATGAGCTAATGCATATGATTATATTGTTGTGGAGCTTGATACTGTCACTTATCACTGCAGTTAGGGGATTTGTATAGATCTTGTGAATTACCTACCTAGCATTTCGCGTTACTGTTTTTCTGGCTACAAGATACCTGTATCGTTGCTGTTGGACATGCAAATAGATAAATTTAATGATATATCTTATAGCTATGTTTACTTGTTTAGGTTTCGATTGTCCGACCCAGAAAGTAGTCATTTTAGACCCTGTATTTCTACCGGTTATATGTGAATCATACTTAGTCAACTGTGCTCTCCATTTGAGTCACGCAGCAGGTGCTTAGTATTTAAGAAGAGCCTTGTCGCACTTTGACTTTTAAAGTTCATCAAATCTTGACTAAGATTTTACTTATTTTACTACTTTCATTTGCCCTTATTTCAGAATTATTATTAGGTATACGTGGCTTCTGTAGCAATTATCTCTTGAAGTTAGAGCTCATCATACAGATGTTATTACCTCAACAATAGAATCTAATAACTGCAATTGGAGTATAACTCGCCAAAATGTCCTCTCATTTCTATCTTGCCAACTATTTTCCATACAGTAGCTCAAGTGACGGTGAGGCAAAATAAGAAATTTTTTGTTTCTACATTTGGAGGCTCTCAGAAACAATGATGTGTTCTCGCTAATATACACAATTTTTTGTTTCGCTCAAAAGCTTCTGTCTGCCATCCTTCCTAATTTGAGATACATCATACCTTGCACAAATGGATTATGGGGTCAAGTTCAAATTAAAGGTTTTGACTTTTTTTTATTTTTTACTGATTTCACTTTTATGCCTCTAAATAGACACCTTGACTTGTAGAAGATTGTATGAAAACCAAGCAGTTGCAAGTGCAACCAGTATCCACCGAGGCCTTGTGCTCACTTTTCCTGAAACAACCTTGTTGTTGAAAATTTCTTCATTATTCTATTTTCTTTTTCAGCCAATGCTGGAACCTCCATTTCTTTGTCAGAGATTTGTTGTCTTAAAGTGTAATTGAAGTGTGTGCTTCTTGCTTCATAAAGGGCTTTTTTTTGAAGTGCACACTTTAGACAACATAGGAGGATATAAAAGGATTTTTGACTAACATTAAAATGTCCCAATGTATTTTTAATATGACCATGTGCGTGTAAATAAAATATATATGTTACATATATAACTTAGTTTATTATGATTCATTTTTATACTTTACATATTTAATTCTTTTTGACTAATGCGTCCTTTCATCAAAGGGTTTAGCGTTTCGCCTTGCGCTTCTACTTTTTTAAACATTGTGAATAGTGATATTTGCCTTCAGAACTTCAATTGATGACTTAATCAGCTTATGAACAAATCATCACATAAAGTCCTTTTAGCGATGAGTAGCGTATATCCCACAAAAGCTAGCTTCCTGCAAAAATGACTTTTGAAGCCCTCTACAGAGAGATTCCAGGATGTTCATTTTGTTGCAAGCAATAGACCCGCGATGCTGGTCAAATGTTTGTGATGTTTTCTAGGTGAAGCAACCAATCTCCTGGGAGTTCTATTGACCAAGGGCACTTCATTCCCTTAATCAAGTGTATACAAAAGTTCATACATTGTATACATTGTATGTTGTTCCACAAAGGTCCTAACTTCCTTAAAACTATCTGATGCATATTCTGGCTGTTTGGGAATTGGAATGAGGTAAAATATGACGGGTACTAACAACATTCGTAAAATTTTGTTTCTCCTTTTACACTATACATTCCTGTAAAAGGAGGGTATAACTTAATCTAGTTATACAACAGTACCTACACACATAAATCAAGTTGAAGTTCTTTAACAGGATAATGCTCTACATAGTCCCCAGATATTATCCTGAGCACTTTCGAAGCTTCACTATTGATGATTGGAATGAGATTCATGTTATGTAGCAAAACAAGAAATGCAGAACAAACAAGAACATTCTGTAAATGATCTGCTGATTGAGAAGTTCAAGTTTACTCAGAAGGGTTTTCTAGCTGTTTGAGTAATGTTTGCTCACAACGTTGCTTCTATATTATCCCACGCTCTGTTATTTCAGTCAATTGTTGCGACTTTTTTAGGACTCTTTATGGTCAGTGGCGATTTCTAGCGAGAGTCCTGTCCCCTTATGAATGTCAAAAGTAGCATTTTTTTTCTTTCTTTACATCCGAAATAGTCAATAGCAAGTAGAAAATGAAACATTTTTATTGGATTACAATCAAAATCGCAGCAGAATATAACCATCGGCACCAACTCTCCGGTTCGTGCATTATACACATGAAGCTGGGTTGTGTATGAATTCATAAGCCCACATGCCTCTTGCTATAATAACATACTAGTGTTGCACCCTGTGCAGAGCACGGCCCCTTTTTTTTAAGCATTGTATTTTTGAACTTGTCTTCCTCTAGGCTTTAATACATTTGATTTAATTATTGTATGCTTAAAATTAGATTCATATCTACTCCTCTATACTTAAAGAAGGATCCAAGTTTTAATACATTTGATTTAGAAATCATATCTACTCCTGTATACTTAAAGAAGGATCTAAGTTTTAATACATTTGATTTGCTAGACTGTATATAATACAGTAAAATACTGTAGCATAAATAATAACTTCAAGTATGGAGGAGCAGAGTCGATTTACTGTTTATGCTATACTAAATTACGTAGTTTAAGTAACTTTGAGTAGAGAGGATTAGATTTGATTGACTGTTTATACTATAGTATTTACTGTAGCATTTACTGTGATATGAACAATAACTCTTTGGCTTCTCCTATTAAGTATAGAAGAGTAGATTGTCTAAAAACTACAGGGATGTTTCTTGGTTTTCCAATTTTACTCTAACCTATTACCTCTGTTTTATATATTTTCTAACTTAATGGTGCAGCTTCGGATTAAGGGTATTTTGGGAAAATAGTGGTCCAAATTTCTGCTTCCAATGTTCGACACCCTCCTCATTCTTGCCCGTTTTCACCCAATTGAGGATAAAAAAAGAGGGACTGATGGGATCGTGCACATGGCACGGAGTAGGGGTGCATTCGGTCCGGATACGCCTCAGATATGATGCTTATCATATCCATATCCGCTTACCCATCTCGGATACGGATATGAATACGGGTATACCTTGGTGAGGAAAATTCATATCCATATCCGCTAAAATCGGATACGGTTACAGCTATAGATGCGGATATATAAGCGAATATGCATCCAGATACAAAACGGATATGAGAAAACTAGATAGTATTGAGAAAAACATAGTTAATGTGAAACAAAAGAGTTCATTAATATGTTCATTATAACTAAAAAACTAAAATTAGACATTTTGATCATCAAAATTAACCATAAATTCATAATCTAATAATCAAAACTATCGTAATAGTATGACTAATATATATCCGGATATTTCGGATACAGATACAGATATTTCATTACAAAACCATATCCGTAACCATATTATATCGGTTATAGATTTGAGTAACTATATCCGTATCTTAACAGATACAATTGCGAATATTTCCTCGGATACGGATACGGTTTAGCACCCCTAGCACGGAGTGATAGAAGTGAAGGAGGTGAGAGAGAGAGTGTTGATGGGACTAGAAGCATGTCAGTGGGCGAGGGAGGTGTTTACCATTTTGAGGATGATAAAGGGAGGGAAGATGGTAGGAGGCAGGGCCGGTTCTGAGATTTTAGGGGCCCTGTGCGAAAAGTAAACATAGACCCTTGAATATTACCTAAATATCAATAATTTCCAATTCGAATCCTTAAAATGCTAGCAAACAAAATATTACTGATCAGACATTAAAATATTACCTGGTTTTTTTTACATCTGGATAGTCTTTAACATACTTTTCAAGTGCTATTGCCCATCTCTTCAATCACCTGAATAAAATGTTACTGATCAGATAAATGCATGTAATCTCATCTTAATAAAGCTTTCCAATAGAGTAAATAGTCCACAATAAGAAATACCAAATATTATGTTCCTTTTGTATCTGTGCTTACCTTCATAAGACATATCGAAGCCTTTAGCATCAAAAAGTATCATCGAAAAATTGTCATCCTTGCATTTTTAGCTGCAAAATCACTAATTAAGCCTTTAACATCAATTTTATCTAAAAAATTATTTTCAATGGATATCAAAGCTAGTCCATTTAATCTTTCTTGTGACATGGTCGATCTCAGATAAGATTTTAATAATTTTAATTTTGAAAAACTTCTTTCTGCAGATGCGACTGTAACAGGTATAGTCAATAATATTCTATAAGCAATACATGCATTTGGAAAACAATTTCGTATTTTTAAAAAATTCAGTATATCAATAGCCATCTTTATTTCTTTTGGTAAAATATTTCGTAAGATTTTTAGTTCTCCAAATAAATCTTTCCCATCAAGATCAGAAAATGTTTTATATTTTAGAACAATTTCAAGATTATCACAACATGCTTTCAAATTATTATCATCTAATGAATTTAACTTTTCTAAACCAAACAAAAATCCAAAAATATCTTCATATGCTTTATATTGCTCAAACCTTTTCTTTAGTGAACCAATAACTTAATCTACAATACACAAAAAATAATTGATTCTAAAAGATTCTTCAGCTGATTGTGTTGTATCCTCATTAACATTCTCATCAAATTGTCTTTTTCTACGGATTTGACGTTTTACTTGAAATACAGAATCAATTTCCATTTCAGTAGCAATTTCTTTAGCAATTGTCATAGCTTGTGTGAACCCAACTTCTCTATAATCCTCAAAAAACCTAATCAATCCTTTTACTTGATCTATAGCAACATCTATAAGCATGTCTTTAGATTGTAAAAATTTGCTAATTAAGTTAACAGCAAACAATATATCATACCAAATAATCATACTTAATAAAAATTTAAAATTTCCAATTCCA